AGGTTTTACGAAAATGGTCATAACTCCTTCATCCTAACTCGGAATGAGGTGAAACAAATTGCGTTGGAAAGCTAACTCACAGAGCTTTAATTTTGATAGTTTGAGCTCCTTCCAGTTCCTTGTGTGCTGAGAGATATGCCCCTTTAAAGTTGACCCTCAAAATCGCATTTTTTTGCGATTTTCAAATTTTGATACGGTTGTTCTAAAATTCGGGTTAGACTCATTTCCCACTCAATTTGACCCCCTAAACAAGAATATGAAGTCGAATTTCCGAAATGATGCATGGATTTTGAGATATATGAAAATTACAATTTTAGGTGTTTTCGAAGCACATTTTCGGGCATTTTTGGGGTCGTTTCATATTCTCTACTAACTATAAGGCAAGAATTTAAAATTGCATGACACAAGTTATGCTCAATGTAGTGGTGAAGCCAAAAGTGGCCGTTCATGATCATATCATATCATATATCATATATTACTATAAGTGGAAACAAAAAAAGTTGAAAATTGAAATACCAAAATATCCCTATAAAATTGAGTTACTACAATAATGCCATTAAAAAAAGTTACTCTAAATTAAAATGTTATAAAATATTTATTTAATTATATTTAGATAGTATTTCCTCTCCTATGGCTGCCAACTATTTCACTAGCTCTCTCTATCAATATGTATGACCCAAAATTGTGAACAAACAAAATTGCCTATATGACAGCACCAGAACGATCGCAACCAGAAGTGCCATCAATTGACCTCAAGGAGTACTTTGCATCATGACAGCACCAGAACGACCACAACCAGAAGTGCCATCAATTGACCTCGAGGAGTACTCTGCATCAAAGACACTGATTCCTTTTGACCAACCAGTCCCTTTACTTTGAAGTCCCATCAAGGCTGGCCCACAAGAAGAAACATCTGGGTGATTCATCCTCGCATTTGAAGACCCTATCTCCTGGGCCTCTACAGACAAGGCTTGCGAGTCTCAAGTCACTCAACAATGTGAATCCGGCGCTAGGATTGGTTTCTCTATCACAGCTTCAGACAAATGTAAAACTCCTTGGTGGAAATCATTCACTGGAAATGCTTCCAATCAAGACTTTACAGAGAGGGCGAGATGCGAAGAACGTGAAATGGAGGCTCGCCTTGAAGCAGCAAAGGGGAAGTGCCGTGAATTTGCAAAGTAGAAGTGCTTCCCGGCATTTCGTGATGCAAGGATTGCTATAAAAGGATTGAGTCCCAAGGTGAACCAAAAAGAGTTATCCAGGCTAATTTCTTGGGTGAACTTAGGGGAGAATTGTCAGATAGCTGATCTTTGGAGATTAGAGAGGCCTTGGCTCCAGTTTAAGGCACAACTAAAAGTGTCTTATTGCAAAGGGAGTGATATATTAGGTTCAGATGACACACAAAATTATGAATATTTGAGAACTAATGTTGAGTAGTTTGATTTGTAACTGAAGTTCAATATGACAGCACATATTATTGTCTTCTTGATTCTAACCTTCATGAAATCTTTCTTTTGATTCTTGTATTTCATACTGCTCATAAATGTAGTGAATTGTGTGACTAAAAATACAAAAATAAAAAATAATATTTAGATTGTAATTATATAATATTATAGTATACAACACTAGCAAACCCAAAAGTTGTAGTAAATACTATTCATACAATCAATAAATCAGTTAATAGTAACAGACTATATGCATTTAGCCGTATGTCATTAGTATATGAATAACTTGAATGTTTAGGCTTCTCCTTATAGTTCGTGAAACATGTATTTTGAATTTCCATAGACTTAATAATGTGTATTTACTATTTCTTGAACTTTGTATCACTTCTTTAGTACTTAATTAAGTTTATTTAATGTCAATCTTGAATTGCTTCATCTTTCAATCTTTGTTGTAATATTAACTTTTGAAATGTCAATATACATGTAATCAATCAAGGATTTATTTTCCTAATAAAATATACCCAACCTTTTCATTCATTTTCTCCATACACGAAGAGTTTAGAATTTGAGGTGGTACAAACTCCCTATGGCATCAGGTATAACACCACCTTCATTAATACTCAAGTACAACACATATATATGTCGGAACACATCTGTATGTTGGAACACATTACAAAAATCTAGATCGAAGAACATAATTGACCTCAACTTCAAGTTAGAAAGATCAAGTGAGAGATACCTTTCTCCATGACTATGAATGGCCTGTCTGATACCTTTTTCCCATATTTGTTTTACTTGCTTGTTTTTTATTATGCATTCCTTGAGGCGAGGGTCTTTTTACCTTCATAAAGTGGTCGATAAGGGTTGTGTACACACCGCTCTCCCCAAACCACACTTGTGGGATTACATTAGGTATGTTGTTGTTACTCTGAGTAACAACAAGATTTGGATCATCCTAGTCCATGATCTTCAACCTCAATAGCAGCTTCCAGCACTTTTACTATCCTCGACTATATATGTTGTTCCATAATTCAATACCTAAACTGATAGAATGCATGCGTCCACTATCAGTCAATGGACCAGGTCCCTTGACTCAGCAAGAACAGTAATGAAGAATAAACAATAAAAAGAACACAACACAAGCAGTTTACATGGAAACCTCCTTGCTCAAAGGAGTAAAACCATGACCCATCTAACAGGATTTTCAACTGTTTCCACTAATCTCTTCAAGCAAAAGTGAAACACAATTACAGCCAAAGTGAGAAGAAGTTACTAATCTCACAACTAAGTAATAACTCTATTACTTATTAAGACTAAGCATATACCACACTGCCCACTAAGCTATCACCACTAGACAACTTAGAATTCAACTAAGCAGATACCACACTGCCTACTAAGTCACAACTAAGTAATAACTCTATTACTTACTTAGCCTAAGCAGATACCACACTGCCCACTAAATCAACTAACTCCTAGATGACTTAGAATTTGACTAAGCAGCAAACAATATTGCTCACTAAATCAGCTAGCCTTAACTAATTTAGACCTTTTACAAATGAACACAAGATTTGAATCCTTTATAGATTAGGAACAAATTTACAATGTAAGTACGGAAGATATAATCCTACGACAACTAGACAGCTTCCAGCTCTATCAGGTCCCTGTTGTTCTTGAGGATTTGTTAGCCTTTGCAAGAGTTCTTGAGAGTTTTCAAGTTGCAAAAGCTAAGGTTGTGTCTATTGGACATAATCTCTTTGAAGAATAAACGCAACCTTCGAGGCCACGCTATTGGCCGAGGTTTCTGCCACAGTTGGAGACTGTGCACCAACCAATTGTACTTTTTACAGACTGGCATTTGTGTGTATATTGTCACAAGGAGCAGGTCCCTTTAAAAGGTCCCATGGTTTGTCAAATTATCAAAACTACAAATAATATTTTCTCCCTTTTTGATGATGACAAACTTCACACATATACCTTTGTTCAATCCCCCTGTCAACATGCTCTTCATTCCTCCTGTCTAACAGACCCTTATTCATTCATTCATTCCCCCTATCAATCAGACCTTCCACAAACCTAAGCAACCAACATTTCCCCCTTTTGGCATCATAAAAAAGAAGTGCAATAAACCAGCAGAACAAGTAAGATTGCTAATTAAGATAATAGCCAAGGGCAACACCAACATGGTTATAGCAACAGGATTAGACAGAAATTAGTCACAACAAAATAAGAATCAACTTCATTGCACAAAAATCAGTAGTCAATACATTAAAATTAAACTAAAATTAAGAACCCCGGACACTTTCCACACAAAAGAAAGACACATGAAGGGACAGAAAAGGACTATGAGGAAAGAAGCTGATGGGAGAGGGACTTAATAACAAGAGTAAGCCTAGCATTTGCTTCATCATTATCCTTGATCAATTTCTCATGTAGGGCAGCATTCTGAGCCAGGAGCGCATCATTCTTCTTCCTCAGCTCGTTGACCTCTGCAATACCAGGTCCCTCAGACTGCGCTTTGAGTAACTCAGCCTTCAATAAGGCAATCTCCACATCTTTGTTGCTCACACACACAGTCATCTCCTCCAGCTTGTGATTCAACTGATCTTGTTCCATTACCAACCGATATATCTTGCTCAGTGGACCAGTCTTTCCTTCAATGTACTCACATTCCACCAGAGTAGTGTGAGAGAAGGCCTGCTTGGCAATTCAAATTTTACCCTTACCCATTGGAATGTTCAGATGTTAGAACACCTTGGTCAAGAAATAGCCATAACCCATGCCATGCTTACCCTTTTGTTCAATCACTAATTTGTACATGTGCTCCATCATTAGGGCTTGAAGTTCTAAGGGTTCAAACTTGCATAGTGATTCCATGATGAACAGATCAGTTCCAGAAGCGACTGTCCATTTTTCTATCCAAGGAAGAAGCATTTTGTTGACAAATTCAAACAGCAGCTGGTACTCTCCTTTCATGAGTTTCTTTTGAACCCCCGTACGACGCATGTCAGGGAGTTTGGAGCATTCTTTCACAAACTCCTTGGTGCAAGATTTTCCGACTACGGACTTTATCTCTTCTCTATGTACTTCCAGTATTTGTCCCAATAGTTCCTCATCCAGATGTAAACTTTTGTCTCCTACCCTATTGTTGAGGCTACCATCCTCTGCAAATTCTACATTATAATAGAACTCTCGAACCTCCTCCTTATGTAGAATAGGAGATTTGATCTTGAACAAGTGAGTCCACGACTGAATCTCCACAAGATCATACAGATAATCCATTCCTGGCTTGGTAATGATATCAGGAGCAAACACCCGTCCTCTTAGAACCTTCTGTAGACGCAGATTATTAACAATTGATTGTTTGCTTACTGCGTGGTCATCCTTTTTCCTTTTGGGACCTGGTCCCTGTGCAGAGTCTTGCTGGAGAATATGAGAAGTTTCTCTCTTCCTCTTTGATTGCTCCCTCTTCTTTTGTGAATCGTTTCCCTTTTCTTTTGTAGGGTTAACCTTCTTGACCGCAGATGCCTTAGATTTTCTTTTACTGGTTTTCTTCACTTGTTTTCTTTTTTCCTTTATTACATCACCCAAGGGAGAGTCTTCTCCCACACATTCATGCTCAGAAACCTCAATAGAAACATCCACCACATCATCAGAAGGCATCTCAAAGACCGCATCGCCAGATTTCCTTCTCCTTCGGTTTTCTACAATAGTTGTTTCACTGGACTTCATATCATCCCCCATGAGTTTTTGGGAGACGGCTTTGCTAAAGGGCCTCCTTCTAGGAGTTTCTTCTGTGACTTTTCCTTTTGCCTTTGTGGTGACAGGGACCATTCTCCTTTGCAAGGACCACTTAAGAGGGACATTGTCCTCGTCAATGTCAGTAGAGTCAAAAGATGGATAAACACCAACCTTTGGAGTTTGGTCAAATACTGGTTCAGAGCATCCAAGTATTTCATCCACAAAACTTCCTCCTTCGTCATTCATTACCCCTTCTCTCATTTGAGCTAGACTCTTGATATCCAGGCTTTCACTGGCGGCAAGAATATTTGACTTAGAGGACTTACTCTTGGGAAGATCACCCTCAAACAGGTGGTCAGATAACATAGTTGAATAGGGACCAGGTTGATGTGAGGGTATAGGGTTATTAAGATCTATGGGAGACTGGGGTGTAAGAGGACTGGCTTCTGCAATGTTGACCGGAGAGATGGTCGACATTTTCGATGGAGAAGAAGCATCAGATGATGTATAGAATGCCATTAGATCTCTTTCATTTAAGGAGTCTAGAATTTTCTTCGAAGAAAACGGTGACTGATACATGTTACAGAAAGGAGAAGAAAGGTACTGGAGAGAGAGAAAGATTAGGACTTTTGGCGGAGATCTTTGAGAGAGAGGGAGTTTGAAATGTGAAGAGATGGAGTGGAGGAAAGTTATATAAAAAGAACTGAAACGATGTGTCAGATCCCTAAGTAGACGCGTCACTTGGACTTAAAGTGATGGGACAACGGTCATAATGGACGATGACTGACACGTGGAGATCTCAACGGTTCTCATTCAACAGTTTAAATGTAAAGAATGCTAACCTTTGAAGAGGACCAGGTCCCGATTTGCAGGTGAAATTTGATTTATGAATGGTTATGACCATTCTTTGCTCCTGTGATTTCCATAAGTGTATACCTGCAGCAGGTACATAGTTCATCTCACTTAAACAACACATTACCAGGAATGAGGATACATGCCCTCCTGATCATAGCCAAACTAGGATTGGATGCCTTTGGATAGGGTTAGGTCAGTGCATGTGCATCATTCCCAGCTTCAGCCTGTTACTCTCAAATTGATCCTTGTTGGGGGCCTTCGTGAAAATATCTGTAATTTGATCTTCAGTTTTGCAATATTGCATACTGATGTTCCCCTTTTCAACATTGTCTCTCAAGAAGTGATGCCTGACATCAATGTGCTTTGTTCTCTTGTGTTGAACTGGATTCTTTCCCATGTTGACTGCACTGGTATTGTCGCACATGAGAGGAATAGTATGGATGTGTACTCCAAAATCCTCAAGTTGTTGCTTCATCCATAGTAGTTGC